GTGTTAAAACAAAATACAGTCAAACGCCAAATGTTAAAACTTAACCCTTATTAATTATCCCTGTAATTTCCTGTTGGAGGAAACCTTTTAACCCGCTGGTCAAAAGGAAGTCTGTGGATAACACCTCCTACACAAGCCAGGTTTATTATGAACCTTTACGTATCGCAACAGTGTCTCAAAGCAAATACTGGTCTGGCTTCATAAACATGGTGTGTATGAGCTGAATAATAACTATGGGCTTCTGTGTGGCTGAAATTCCTTCCCAATTAAAGTGAAAAGATGTGTTTTGGTTACATAATCATTACCTTTGGAGAACTAGGTAGGAGCAGGACTTATCTCAGTGAAATCATTAGGTTAAATTGCCTAACATCACTCACTATATGTAATACCAATAAAATACGATTTTTTCCATAAGGAGTACATTGGAACCTTGCTCTAATAGTTTGCCCACGGTCAAAACTAGTTAGTGAGCGCTTTAGCGGACACAAATGCTCATGCAACTGGAGGGCTGAAAAAGACGGAAACTCTAGCGTACCACCTCATGGAGCCAGGGATTAAATCGGAAGCATTCACACTGAGCTATGTCCCTGCCCCTTTGTATTTTTATTTTGAGACAGGGTCTCCCTAAGTCACTAAGCTGCCCAGGGTGGGCTCGAGCTTCCAATCGTTCTGCCTCAGCCTCCCAGAGTGCTGCATTACAGGCGCAGGTCACCGTTCCCAGCTCGACCTCATTTCATTTCTCAAGCAAGGAAAGGAAGGCTCCTGGAGGTCGAGAGCCCCGCCCACGTCACAGGGCTCCTCCACGATGCTCCAGGATTGCAGCGGAACCTTCTAACCCTCAACAGGCTCCTTCCCACTGATTTCTGATTTTCAGTGACATGGAGGTAATGGAACCACAATCTATATACACACATGTTCCTATAATGTTATCTAAATTCGTTATGATTCAGACTTGGAAATGAATTTTATATATAGAGGACAGAGCATGGGAACTTCCTGTGCACTAGGAACCCACGTGGCCCTTCTCCTCAACCTCTCTGTAGCCCCATAAAGCACACACACAAAGTCATGGGGGGTTAGTGATGGGTGAGGAAGCATCTGAGCACCTCTGGCAGCTCCCAGTATCAGAGGCCACGCTCTACCCGCTCCACCAGTTTCACAGTTTCATTATGCAGACCAACCATGGCTTGGCCACTGAATTTACCAAAGGCAGCTGAAGTCATTTATGAGTGGCTCTCTGAGAAAGGCTGCAATGATGCAAAGAGAATACAGAGAAGAGAAAGGGGCAGGGAGACCCCCAATATCCAGACTGCTTTAATTTAACTAAAACAGTAAGAACACAGTAGCTGGGGAAGTTTTCAACCACTGAATCATTTTAACAGTAAAGAATAAAAAGAACACATGGACTTAAGACGATCACTGACAACAGTAGAAAAGTACAAAAGTTACAGAAGAGAAGCTTCTGTAAACACAGCAGCTCAGCCTGCTGACTTGGCTGCCTGATTCCTGTTCCCCAGACCTGCGGCTAACTTGCCCCACCCCATATGCCTCTTTTCACTGATCATCTGAAGGTTCCTACTATAGAGGCGAAAGTCTGATTCCATGTACACAACCAGCTAAGAGGAGGATGTGTAATGCCATCATATAGCCCCTGGTGTGTACTGGCTGTTCTAGGCTGGCAGAAGCACTGACTCCTATTGGCACAAGTCACCCTCTTTCAGGTTTCTACATTTCGGTAGTTGAATCACTGAAGACCCATGGCTCTCAGGGACCTAAATCCAAAACTTAGGCTGGAGCAGTTTCAGGAACAAACTATCTCAACCAGAAGTTAGAAAGCCCACCGAAAAGGATACGTAACACCTACTGGAGAAAGCCAAGTGCTTTCAATATTTACTTTCTTTAATAGGAAGTAGAGAGGAGAGGGCAAGAGGCAGAAGTTTTAGTGCTAAGACAGAGGCAGAGTGATGGCAGCAAAGGTCAAGTCATGTCCAACGTCCTCTCTGACTTCTTTCTACCAAACCCTTTCATCTCACAAAACATGAAGATCTTCAGGGAGGAAAGTGACTCTTGTTGCCATGGACCAGAATGAGGCTTATTTTAGAAAACAAAACCTTAATGTAAAATGGGAATGGCTAACTTTTAAATATTAAGGCCGCATTTGCTGCTATCACAGAAGTAGCACTGACTGTTACTGGCAGCCAAGCACTCTGCTCCTTAGCTTCAAACCTGAGCCAGAGGAGGTCTCTTTGGATGTTCTGAACAAGGAGATGCTCGTGATCACTGAAAACATACAATCAGATCCCACACTTGACAGATACACATACCACACTCACATATATGGAAAAAATGCTGGAAGAAACTACACCAAGCTTGTTCACAGTAGCTGTTTCTGGAGAGTGAGATGATGCATGATTTCTGTGTGAACTTATTCTTAACAAGATGGTTATGATAAACATTTCTATTAGTGGCTGCTCTCTTGACCAACCACCTTATACCACTGGCTTCTGCAATTTAAACTGATACTATCTTTTCCCCATTAGTGTGGTTAAACACGGCCCTCTGAATGCAGACAGTTGGGAGGCTACTCTCTGGTACTTCTTCTCCCACTACCTAAACTGAACATTTTATAGGGTCACTTGTGTTTAAACCCCAGTCAGTTGCTGTTGTATTTGATGCTCCATTGGGTGATTTATTTATGACTTATAAAGAAAGCTGTTTCCATGAACACTAAGTTGAATGCTTTGAAAGACTTAACTTTGAATAAGAAAAAACAACAACAACAACAACAAAAAAGCTCTTGCAAGACAACTATAAAAGATTAAGGTAGAGGGTCCTAAAAATCTGGGAAGTTTTATATGTAGATTGTGTAATAAGACAAGACCTACAGATCTCTGTTTCAGTCAATTCAGGTTATTATAACAAAGTACTATAACTGGTTTAGAAACAATAGATATTTATTTTGCGCGTTCTGCAGGCTGGAAATCTGAGGTACACTATGGTTGGGTTCTGGATAGGGGTCCCTTCTAGGCTACAGACTCCAGACTCCTTGTATTCTCACACAGCAGAAGCAAAGAGAAACTCTCTAGGGTCTCTCATGTAACAGTACTGATGCCACTCCTGAGGGCTTTGTCCTCTGATCTAATCAGCTCTGCCAGGATCCACTTCCAAATCCTATCACAACGGGATTAGGGTTCCAACATATAAATTTAGGGGAACAGAAACATTCATTCATTACATTACTTTAAAGAAACCAAAATGTTAAACTTTAAAGGTATGCTTTTTGCAAGAAAACAGACCAATCTGAATTTAGTGGATACATTCAAAGTAAGGCCTAGCCTTCCTCCCAGTCTGGGAAATAAATGTACATTAATGTGTTTTAACTTAAAAAAACAACACATAAAATATACTATGTGTTCGTCTTTCCTTTGTAAATCTGCTTCTACAGACCTGCCATTCTTCTTTCTACAGCTAGTAGTGCTGTGGTTTGGACACTGAATCAATCCCTGATGGTCCCATGCATTACAGGTTTGGTCCTCCGGGTGGCGCCCTTGAGAGATGTTGCAGACCCTGAGCAAAGGGGGTCTACCCGGAAGTCTAGGTCACCTGGGCAACCTCGAGGGGGATTGTGGGACCCTAGACTGTCTTCATTTGTTCTCTGCTCCACCAAGTACTACCTACTCCCTGGAATTGTCACTGGGCACTACGCCCACTGTCTCAAAGCTCAGAGCCCGTACCCATCTTTGACCAGAATCTCCAGAACTAAGAGCTTAATAAAACCCTTCCTCTTATAAGCAAATTATCTTAGACATTTCATTAGAATGACCAAAAGCTGATGGATACAAGGAGAAAACAGAAAATCCGAGCCATCACTGTTTAAAACTATTCTCACCTTCCAGTTCATAATGCACCAACCGTGAGTTCACTTGTGGTCACTGCCGTCCCCTCAGACCGGTGCATGAGAGGGAGCTGGGGTAGTCAGATCCTTAAGAGCTCCAAGGTCTGCTCCGGGTGTAAGAAAAGAAGAAGCGGGTCAACTTGGGGTGTCCAGGGACGGCCACCTTAGGAAGACGCGTCTTTGGTGGAGAGGACAGTGGGAGCAGAGAGGACAAGCCACCTCTGCAGAGAGGCAGGCGACATGTCCTCAACGAGGTGACCCGGGTCACCCTGAGCTGTGGGCAGAAAGTGCTCCCCAGAAGTTCTCTGCAGCCTCCAGCTGTTCCTGAGGGACAGGTGCTCCCCCTCCATGCATCTGTGGACCTGACAGCCCGTACCCAAAGTCACCCCACCATCTCCTGCCCTGAACGCGAAGGTTTAGGGATGAATGTCTTCCTGATTCTCAGCCCCTGTTAACTGATCTAATCCCCGATTTTTAAAAAGTTATCTGGAGGGAAGGGAGTGAATGGGGGGGGGGAGAGACTGTCTGAAGAAAGCAATTCATGTCTAAAATTCCCTCGAAAGGGACAGATACCTAGTGGAAGGTAAGGCTGGAAGTGACAGGCACAGGACTTGCTCTGGGGCCTTCCAGGTCACTGCTCTTAGAATATGATGCATACCAGGGAGCCAGAAAACAAACTCTGGAGGGAAAACCTATTCACTCAGTAGGTGACTTTCCTCTGAGCCCTTGGGAAGAAGAGGTGCCAAACAGGTGGCTTCTGGGGTCTCTCTTCATTCTGAAATTTAATGACTTAGAGCATATGAATCACAGCTGTATTGTACCAGGCTGTGTGAAGGTGCAGAGACCAATGAATTCATTTAGTCTTCATAACAGCCCTGTGAGGTATAATTTATTACTTCTACTTTATAGGTGTGGAGAGAAAATTGAAACAATGTATCCAGGGTCTGGCAGGAGGACTGGGATTGGCTCCATCCTGCCTGGCTCCAGAACCTTATTCTACTTGCAGACAGAGAGCTCTGCACTCAGAATCATGGAGATGCTTCTCTCTTTGTGCTATTTTTAATGTTTTTAGGTGGCATAATAGTTGTACTTACTATGAGAGTTAAGAAAATCATCAGGAATTTTCATAGGCCTTTAGAAAAAGGAAAAAATGAACCACAGGGAAGATGTTTAGGAAGATTAGAAAAACACCTAAATGTCAAGTCTCCACCTCATTTGTTCAAGGTTATAGTATCTCGAAAGCCAGTTAATAGTTGGCACAAGATAACTAAGTTTTCCCTGTGACTCCTGCAAAGTCAGATAAGCTAATATTAGCAACTTAAACCACAGCTCTGTTTAAATGTGCTCAGGGTGATTGAAGGTGCTCATTAGCCCCATGTATAAATGGCCCCCTAGCTAAGGAGTGGTGAACTCTGACCAGCACTGGAGAAATGTGTTCCTGACGTGTTACAACTTGTTGCTAGAATTTTAATTTCACGCAATCTCAAATAATCCCAAGAAATGGCCATACTGTACATGAAAATAAAATGTTTTACTTTTTTTCAGTTTTACTTTTATAATCTCTATGTTGTGTACAAACACAGTAGGTTAGATAGCTGTTTCCCACAAATTTTCTGAGGACAAAATAGATACACCATGAATTGATAATATGTACAGAACAGTGATTCTCGAGACCAAGAAAAACAAATAGGTCCAAACAGCTTACACAGGAGGAAATGAAACACAAATTTCAAAAATCTAGGGGTCTGGCCCTCTGGCAGGGATATGGCCTTGGACAAAACTCTTGGCCTCTCTGAGGCTTCACCTGTATATTCTCCTTCACAAGCTGGATTCTAAACACTGTACTTCCAATACAGAAAGGAAGCACTAAATCGATGTCAACTATTACTGTTATGATAAATATCTCTCTTCCACTAATGGACAGGCTAAGCTTAAGGATATAAACAGGTGGCATCCAGCAAAAAGGCAGTGATTGGAGGGTAGCAGGGCATGGAACAGAGAATTGGAGATCTGAACTCTTTTCCTGCTGGTATCAATGGCAGGGTAAATGACCTGGGGCAAGTCATTCACCCTCTGAACCAAGATTCTCATTTGTGAAATCAGAATACTGGTGGGTCATGGTGACCCTCCAGCACTCTGAGGCTGAGGCAGGAAGACTGCAAGTTTGAACCCTGCCAGGTCAACATAACAACTTATCAAGACCCTGTCTCAAATATAACAATAAAATTAAAAAAGAGCTGGGCATGTAGCTTAGTGTAAGGCCCTGAGTTCAAGCCCCAGTACCAAACAACAACAACAAATCAGAATCCAAAGAATGATTCTGAAACTTTAACTCATCATCCTTTCTGATACCACAGAATTTGCAAAAACTTCGTACCTTGAGTGATAAATTCACGCTTATTTAAGAAAGAAACAGGAAGTCAATATGCACTTATGGAAGGAGCAGAAGGAGTGTGGGGGAGAAGAGGGCAAACCATTCTGATTAGCCCAGTTCACTGCCACTCACTGCATCTGAATCACAGCTTTTCCCCAACTCCCTTAAATTATACGCCCAAGTAGTCATTTTCATAGCACCCTTCCAGCTTTCTGAAAATGAGAATAAGAAAGCTAAAAATATCAGTCAGCTATTTGCTCTGATATCATATGTACACTCGATGGAATATTAGAAACAAGAGGCAGCTGGTATCCAAGGGCTGAACTGCAAAAACCACCAAGACAGGGTCAGTTTTGAGGGGCATAATATCTATGAAGGGCAGGGAATTTTAAACTCTCCTAGGACTATCTAGTCTTAGCCCCAACCTCAAAAGTAGCAAAATGGCTTAGACAGAATTCCACATTTCTATTTCCTTTACTGCAGAAAATCTTGATTTTTTTTTTTCCTTTGCCAACTTTCTCCTAGAAAGAGAAACTATCCACTTATTTTAGTTAGGGCAATTAATACGGGCAACTGTGGTCCAAAAACTACATTTTCTTGGCAGGTCTGATTAACTGAGGGGGTCAGCCTGTCTTTGGTGTGTAAGTAATTTCAGCCACTCATCAAATGTACCCTTTGTCTCAACTTTCTGAAGCGGTTCTCATTTCCAGTCTCTTACCCTCCCTATCAATTATCTGAACCAACATGGATTTGGGGAGGGGTCTATACACGGTGACGCTTGGGAATCACTTAGCCCTCTTTCCTCTGCACAGGGCCTTCGGGAAGCCAGACGCAATAGATCTGGGTTCCTGGAATCCCACATTCCAACCTTCCGGGGGTCGCGGGGAAACGGCCAGGACTCTGAGCCTCTCTACCTTGGCCCAGTTAAGACAACATTCCCCCCCACCGCCCGGTGGAACCCCTGAGCTAAATCACTGCCCTGTGTGGGCCTCGGGTCCTCCTTGGGGTAACTCGGGGGCTGGACCTGGGTCCTCTCCCGACCCCCGACACTCGGGGAGCAACACCCGCCCCACTAAGACCCAAGGATGAGGGCCTGGGGCTGTCATCGTGCCCCCCGCCCTTCCATTCAACAGAGCGTCCAGAAGTTTCTCTCGTCGCCAAGATCGTGGAAGACCAACAGCCCTGGTCACACCACTTCCGGCCCTGCCCAGACTGCGAGCCCGATCGACGCCCAATCCTTGCTCTGCGGATGGGGCCTCGGAGGCTGTCACCCTAGCGGTCCGCGGCCCGGGACCAGCAGGTGTTTATCCCCGAGAGAAAACACGAATGCAGGGCTGACCGTCAGATCCCCAGCTCTCCGACGAGCCCTCCGGTTTCGGTTAACGCTCCCGCCAACCCGTAAGCCACCCACACTTACATCCTCCCAGCGGCGGAGCCTCAAACACCCGGCTTCTGCAATTTGCAAGCAAACCACGACTCCCACAATCCTACCGGGGAAACTACAACTTCCGACGAACCGCTCCGCGCGCAGGCGCAGTGAACCCGGGCTGCCGCGCGAGTTACATCGCTTCGCGCGCAGGCGCAGTGGGCCCGGGCATCGCGCGCCCCGGTTGATGCAGTGTTGAAGGGTGAAATTCAGTCCTTAAGCGAATTGGGCTTTATTTAATGCACACCTCTAGATAGGCGGGAACCCCCGGGGGGTGGTGTAGGCTGGGCACCTTCATCAAAGCCCTGGGGCATATTTTCATACTGGACTCACCGGAGGTGAACAACGGCAGCCCCCGTCCTCCGCCGTCGCACGTTTCAGGGCTTCCTCCTCACTGCTGTGTGCGTCCCGAAACGCGCGGGTCCCCAGAAGTTTCCAGGTTTAGCCTTGCCCTTCTCTGATGACAACATGCATTCATGCATGCGTTTTCCTTTAGGGTAACCGTAGGGCTCTTCGGTGCTAGGTTCCCAGAGTTCTGCATACAGTGAATGCTTAACACGAGCACAGCAGGGCACAAACTGAGCACCCCAGTACAAGGATAATACTCATACAGCTGTCACTGCGCGCTCGGCTCACCCCACTGAGGAGAAGGGAACTGAGGCCAGAGGCTCAAATTGCAGAGGCAGGATGGTATTGGTACCCAGGAGATCTAACCACATACCCTTATGGTTGTTTGTGGTGATCAAGTGCAAAATGCCAAAATGAGAACCAAGACCTGTCATGTAAAGGTACAAGATCCCAATGGTGACTGTAACTGTACTGTATACCTAACATGTACCAGTAAACTCAATAGAAAAAAAAAGTGCAAAATGCTAAGGAGGTTAGAGGGAAGAGCAAACTGGGGAGGGCATTTAGTTCTTGATAGAGGGAAAGTAACAAAAGTGTCCTTGTTCTCAGCACTTTGAGACTGTTGCTTAATTTAAGTCCCTAACAAGCCTGTAAAGGACATATAATAACCAATTCAGATAATGAAATGGAGACACAAGCACATCTGTGCAATTTTGTTTTGAATTTTTTATTTATTTGGTACAGGGGATCGAACTTGGGTTCTTGCGGTTTCAAGGTAGGCGGCAGAACCACTGAGCTAAATCCCGAGCCTCTGTGCAGAGTTTTAAAGTAGCAAGTGCCAGAGCTAAGACTTGACCCAGATAACCTGGACCTAGAGTCTTATCAGATCAACCACCACCAGGGGTTCATTTTTAAATACCTTTGAGCTGTCCTTTAACAAATAAGTGATACTCATGTTATATGGAGCCAATAGAACAAATAGAAGACACTCCAAAAGCAAACAGCATAGAGAAGGAAAACAGCAAGTTGTTTGAATTGGAATTTTCAAACCAGTTTGGAGGGAGTTAATACTAGGGGAGAACTTAGGGCAAATGGTTTCAACAGGTATACACTGAACTTGCGTGAGGAGAGTCAGCATTTTGGCCTAGCATAGTGGCACAGCCCGGTAACCCCAGCACTCTGGAAGGCCAGTGCAACAGGATGGGAAGTTTGAGCCCAGGCTGGGCAATTTACTGACTTAGGGAGACTCTGTCTCAGAATTTTAAAAAATAAATAAAAATTAAAAAGAGGCTCAGAATGTTGCTCAGTGAAGGCACTGGGTTCAATCCTTAGTACCAGAAAAAACAAAAAAGCATTTCTCCCATTCCCCAAATGTGAAGTTCACTGACAGTCATCTCTGTTGTCACCTATATACTCACTGATAGTAATAAGCTGTGATTAATTAGGAAACTCTCGATGTTCTCTCTGTTTCCCTGTGTGGAAGGCATACACAGCTGGACAGTAAGGATAGACTAAAGTCAGGAGTACTGCAGTAGAAAAAAGCACCCATCATGCACCGAGCTCAGCTTCTATTAATGCAGCAGTTACTGGGCAGGAGGAAGGACTCACAGAGATTGGAAGTGGAAACTCCTGAAGAGGGACGGTGTTCATCCATGTCATCTGAATTTGTTCACTGGTGCTATCTGGAGAAGAAACAAACTTCTACAAATGTCATAGGTGACAGTGATGTAAGTTATAGCAAGACACACACCCAGCAGGGAGTTGTAATGTTTGATTTTCAAAGAGACAAGACAAGATGTTTCTGAGTGATGGAAAATTATATTTCAAAGGTAGGAAAAACAAGGATTTATAATTGCAAGCTTTCTCACTTGCTCCCAGAGGGAGTTCAGGAACCTGTCTGTCTGTCACCAGGCTTTTGCTGGACGTCAGTTCTAGCAGGGTTCATTTTTCTCAGGCAGGTACTTTAAGGGGGCTAGGGACACTATAAGGATGTAGCCTTGAACTGTTACAAACAGTGCTGGTATTTGATCAAGTCTCTTCTCAGTGTCTGGAGGTAGGTAAATCATTTGTGCCAAGAGTCTGCAGTTTTTATAGAGAGAGACTGTAATCTAGTTGAGAGGGCTCAGCCCGAGGAGAGTTTGGTCAAGGGAAGTTACTGTCACCTCGTGGAAACCCAGCTCCCAGTGTGGACCCAGCCGTGAAGCCTGGAATTGCTAGTTCTCTTACTGCTGTGGGCTCTCTGAGATGCATGTGTCTGAGGCAACAGCATTTATGATCTTCTGACCTGAAGAAGGAGGCCTCTTCCTGCAGTTGGCATTTGAATAGCTTCCCCTAACGCTCATATCTAACGCTTCCCTTACATAATTGCAGCTCTGTGACAGGAAACAGGTACTTTGTGTATATCTCATTCTGTAACATTAAAGAGACAAACCTTGTGTGCTTGAGTACGGATTATCCCCACCACAGGCCGTGTTGAAACTTGGTCCTCAGTCGATGGTGTTGAGAGATGGTGGGGTCAGGAGGGATGGGCCTGCATGAAGGGGTTAGTGCCATCTTGTGGGAGATTTCTCACCCTCGTGGGACTGGACTCGCTGTCCGGGGGGCAGGTTGTGATAGCAAGGTCGCCTCTGCACTTTCTCCTCTTCTGCACACACCTACTTGGCTTTCACTTTCTGCCGTGAGATGAAGGAACACAGGCCCTCAGCAGAAGCTGAGCAGATGCTGGTACCACGCTCTTGGACCTGTCAGCCTCCAAACCATGAGCCAAAATAAACCTCTTTGGAAATAGTCTCAGCTATACTGTTACAGCAATGGAACATTGACCAAGACAGTGCACGGACTTCTTCAAGGGTGCTTAGCAAGAGAGCTCCTCTTTTGAATTTTGTCTTTGTGCCCTGAGGCCTGAAGCCCTGTTCACGATTGCTGGGCTCCGGCCAGGGAGGGGAAGGAGATGAGGCCTGGGCTGCATGATGCTGAGACCCCCACCTCTGTCTCTTGCCATGGACTTCCTCCTCTCAGCTGCTCCTCTCTCTTGTCCCTGCTTCAGCTCTTTCCACCTGGTGTTGATCTCTGCCATGGCCTATTCACAATCCTTACATACCTGTCTTGCTCTATCCCAGCTGAGCTCCTATACAGTATAGACTTCCTCTGCTACACTTGTTTTAGTCATTTTCCATCACTGGGATGTAGTACCTGACTCTCACACCCTTAAGGAAGAGAAGATTATCTTAGCTCGTGGTTCCAGCCCATCGTCAGCTGGCTTCAAGACGGTGAGGGCGTGGTGGAAGAAAGAGCCCACGTTACAGCAGTCAGGAAGCAGCAAGAGAAGGGAAGAGCTGGGGACAGGAATTACACCCTTCCAGTCACGGCTCCAGCGAACACCTCCAACTGGGCCCCACCTCCTGACAACATATCCATCCGGCTGCTAAATAGGTGAGTCACCTATTCGCCAGCAGGGGGGTCCACTGATGAGCATAGCGACACCGTGATCTAGTCACCTTCCAAACACATGCTAAGCTGTAACAATACTGCTGGGGTCCAATAACCCAAGTACACAGACGACCAATGAATTTGTGAGTGAAATCTCTGTAACCTGCACTTTCTTCACCCACAAATGAAGAGGTCTGGCAGGAGTGGGGGCGGGGTGGACCTCCAAGGTGCCTTCCGGCTCTGACATGATACCATGTAGCCCATAGAGCAAAACACTTAATTTTTTAAACTGACATAAAATTTCATGTATCATTATATAACATGATGTTTTAAAGTGTATGCACATTGTGAAATGTCTAGATCTAGCTAATTCACACAAGCATTGCCACACCTCGAGTAGTTACCATTTTTGTAGAGGAAACACTTAACATCCACTCTTAACATTTTTTCTCTTTTGTTTTGTTTTTTAAGGCAGGGTCTTGCTGTGTGGTTTAGCTTGAAGTCACTGTAGCCCAGGATGGCCTCAAACTTGTGGTGATCCTCCTGCCTCAGCCTCCTGAGTGCAGGGATTACAACAGGCGCATGCTACCACACCCAGCAATTTTCATGAATATAATGCACTGTCCCTTACTATTGTCACCGTGCTATACAACAGGTTTCTTGAGTTTATTTCTCCTCTCTAACTGGAATTCTGCACATGTTGACCAGCATCTCCCCAATCCCTGCTCCCCACCACGTACTCTGCAGCCTGAGGTTCCTTCCCCGCAATATACAACAGTCGCTGCCTTGCTTATCAACAGACATTAGCAATTGAACACTCTCTGTAACGTTAGTCTCTTCAAACATAAAGGAAAATAAAGCAAGTGTAAATGAAATACGATGTAATGAAAAGAATGAATTGTTTATAAACCCAGGTCATCATTTTTTTATTGTTTTTCTTAAGGAGAATTTTTAAAGGTTTTCTGCAAAACTTTAAATGTTAGTTTAAAATATGTTTCTTTCACATGAGCTGTTTCTTAAATATTTGACTTTGCTGGTATGGATTATTTGCCCTTTGCAATGCTTTTTCTGTCTTCAAACCTTCCAATAAGTTAAATACCAGCAAAACAAATAAATGTAACCTTGTGGTTCTATTCATTCATCACTTCAAACTGTGCTCATAAATTAATAAGAAATGATTCTATGTCAACCTGGTGAGCAAGTGATAAATTTTGAAGCTCAGCTTCTGAAAAATACATCTGAGTATGTATAAATTGAATTTGTCACATCCAAGCTAATGTTTCATAAGAAAGAAGAATTTGTAAATCTGTCCTTTCTATTTCTACCGCCACGGCCCAGGCCCTCTGTTTTAAATTTGGTTTTAGTTTCACTACTGACATTGATTTAAATGGCATTTACATTGCATAGAAAATAAAAGAGGTCTTTGGCACAAAATATCACTCCAATAAGCAGATGTAAATCGCCGCAATTGAAATGTCATCTGTCTCAGCTGGCGAGCCACGTAAGGTTCGTGGAAAGTCTGTACAGAGAGCAGGGAACTTCCTCCCCTCTAAGCAGTGACAGTTCTGATTCGCGTGTCCTGCGGGCATGTCAGCACACCCGGCTGTCAGGTCTGGGGTCTGTGCCCCTCTCACTGATCAAGGGGACATTTTGAACCCCGTGGCCCCAGGGTTCTCGTGGACGATGGCCTTTGATTCCTCCACATGCAGAACTTGACTTTTGTACTTCTCCTGCCAGTCGTCCACGATGTACTGGTGGTAGGGGTCGTGGGAGTGCTCCTGTCGCTTGGACTTCACCGTGCTCACCAGGATTGCGACCACGATGAAGGAGAACATTCCGATCATCACCATGAGGTACAGGATGACGTAGTAGAAGTTCTCCTCACCCACTTCAGTTTGGAGAGCCTCCTGCTCCATGGTCTCATTCTTGCGCCAGTTGTCCATATAGGTAACAAAAATCCTTTGGAAGACGTCTTCCAGGGCCTGGGTCAAATTGGATAAAGTAATCATGTTTTTCTCCTGCTGAAATGCAAATAATAAATCGATGGATGAGATCAAGAACACAGATCATTTCTACATTTGGTTCCCTTGGCAAGGGAGAAAAGGCAGGGAATGGTACTATTTCTTTTCACCCTGGCTGGTGATTGAGTGCATATTTTGTTAGTCTTTAAACTGATCAGATAGATTTTATTCACTTTTTGCATGCATCATCGTGTTACAAAAATTAATGGAAGAAATAAAAATATATTCATAAACATACATTTATACATAAATCTATACATATGAAAATGGAGAAAAGACAAAGTAAACAGAGCAGCGTGTCGGTGGTGTACTTGCAAGTATATATTTTTTGTACTTCATGCTTCTCGTGTTCCAAATTCTCCTCAGTAATCTTGCATGAAGTTTGTTCTTAAAAAGATCAGCAACCTCCCCACAGCAAGCCAACACTGCCTTCAGAACAAGCGCTCAATAAAGTCAGTCGAACAAAGCCGTGACTCATTTATGAATTGTGGGACTGAGACACGACATGGGGCACAAGGCTGCCAGAGGCACTGGCCCTTTCCCATTCGATCCATCTCCTAGGTCTGGGCAGTGCTTTTCCCCCAGGGTCTTACAGAGGTGCGTGTGCAGCCATGTCCTCAAGCCACACTCGAGGTAACTGATACAAGGAAATAACCTGCTATCTCTCAAATCCATTTCTCTTCGCCATCCCCACTGCCGCAGCCCAGCCACCAACATCTCACCTGGGTGATGCAAGGCAACGTGACACAGTCCCCAAAACACCCCTTATAACTCTCTCTGTCTCAAAGCAGTGTGCTCTTTGCAAGAGGGAAATAAGATCATGCCGTCCCCTTGCTGTTGAAATGATGCGGGTGCTTCCTGTTGTTCTTAAAATAAAAATCTTAGTTCCTTAACAGGATCTACGTGGCCCGGCCTGACCTGCCTCTGGACCCACTTCCCAAGTTCCCCCTCGCTTGTAACAATTTGGTCACAGCTGACTTTTCCCTCCACTCAGTAGGCTTGCTGAGTTCAGGGCATTTGCACATTGTCTCCTACCTACCAGCATTATTTCTGCTCTTCTACCTGCTACCCTTTGTTCTTTAGGCCCCCTCTTAACTGGTACCTCTCTTGAACACTTGTTCTTTATTTGCTTTATAAAACATGATAGTTCAGATCTCCCTATCTGGAAAATAAGCAAAAATAAATTTCCAGATATTTATCCCACAGAACACGTCTTCCCAAATTTTTCTCATTAAGAATTACTGTAGCTAAGATACTTTTCTCCATCTGACATATTACGTTCTGATTTTCAAGTAGCCCTAAGATTCTTCCCTCTCTTCATCAGCACGTTGAAGAAAACGTAACGAATAGAGAAGACTCGTACAAGGTAAACACCAAGCACGTTTTCCAAGCAGTGTAACAGAGATGCGCTCCCACTCCCCTTTTTTTCTGGTACTGAGGATAGAAAGAACTTAGGGCCCTTACTCTGACCTACATTTCCAGCATTTTTTATTTTTTATGTTGAGACAAAGTCTTGCCAGAAATGCCATGGGCAGGGTAGGGTTATCTCACACGTGAGCCCATTTGCATTTTGGTTTTCTCTCAACCCTTCTCTATGGCTCCATCCAGTAAAGAGGAGTTTTGAGTCTGCTGCCTTGTCTGTTTGCTCTGCCATTACTCTAGAGAGAATTCAGTTTCCCTTTGGGAACTCAAATTGGGAAAATGAGTAGAGCATAGAGACAATTAAAAAAAAAGGGAGCCAGTAGAGCTAAGTTCCAAAACAAAGAGCTGAGTGTGGGATCCAGGAAGATCCTTAGGGAGGCCATTGAGGAAGCTCCATGTGGGCAGGGTCCTGAGCAACTGGGTGGGGAGGGAAAAACTGGAGTGGGGAAGAAGGGCCTCATTCCGGTGGAGAGTTAGACACACTTGCAGCATTCTTTCTGAAGTGCTGTCAGGAGGAGACTTGCTCTGGGTACCTAGGCTCCTGGACAGTGCTCCTTGGAGGACCTGTACTCTATATCAGGCTGTGATGCTCTGCTTTTGTGTCTGTGTCCCCAAAGGAGTAGAGCTCCGGAAGCTCCTGAGTGATCTGAACTCCTCTGTCCACGCTGCCTCCCCAGTTCAGGTTGGGCATTCCTCATCCTAAAATCTCAAGTCTGAAATGCTGCACAATTGGAAGCATGCTGATCCCCAACACGATATCCATGAGCAGGAAATTGCCCACCTGACCTTGGTGATGGGTCAAATCAAAAATCCAAATGCACTAAAATGATTGTGCAGCATTCCCTTCCCGCTATGTGTACACGAAACAGGAGTGAATTTCATGTTCAGTCTTGGGTCCCATCCCCAGGATGTCTCATTATGTATATGCAACTATTCCAATTTTTTTTTAAAAAATGGAAACCTGAAACACTTCAGGTTCCATGAGTTTCAGACAAAAGATCCTTAGCCTGTGTCTCCATGCCACTGTGTTTGGGGTTGCATCAGTTACTTCTTTAAGCAAAAGAAGTGAAAGTCTCAGCGTTACAAGGGAAGGGCAACAGGAAAGGTCACACTCGCTGTCAACATCTTTCTTTGAATGTATTCATCAAAATATCTCCTCTGCTATTCACCACATGTGAGAAATCAAGGCAAGTGCTTGACTTGTATGCAGGAGCAGGGCATAGCTGAGGTATGTTTTGATGCTTAGCAGGCCCATGCAGGGCCCGTCCCTCAAGCAAAGCCCTCAAATCCAAAGCTAAAATTGAAATGGGTCACCTTGAAGCACTGACCAGATGTGGCTAGAAGGAAGAAGAGCTGTAAACTAACTTTAGTTTTCTGCATGCTTCTTATCAGGCTGCCTTGCATCAGGAGAAGGAAATTCCCTTGATTTTGCTGGCTCCCAGAGGTACAGTTTGTTTTCTATTATAGATTTAGAAACCCAGGAGACTCATCACTTTCTCCCCAGAACTTTCTCTGACCTGCCCAGATCTAGCAGAGACCCCTTTTCTAGGCTCCTTTTGAAAATTGCCATTAAAAAAAAATCAATTTACCCATTCCTTGTGTGCTTATTCATGTGACACATGCAGCAAAACCACTCAAGTTCAGAACTGTTACCTCCGTTTTACAAAGGAGGGGACTGATGTTTGGAAATAAAATAAACCAAATCATGACGAGTGAGAACTTGACCTGCTATAGGGCCGGAATTTTTTCATTCATCTCTGATTCCCAGGACTCTACCCAATAGATCTTTACCAAATATATGGGGAATAAATGAGTAAAAGAATAACTGCTCCTTTCTCTGTGACATTCAGTTGGAAATTAGCAGAACACTGACTCTTAACTCATGCGAGGGTGAGTGTTTTATGTGCTAGAAGTTCCTTAAAAGGAAAATAAAGCTACATGGATTTATTTTTTCCCAGAGAAGTATACAAATGCACATGAGAAGTGCTACATTAAATTTCTTGTCCAGGTATCTTTTTAACAACACATCTTTGAGATGAGAGACTTAGGTGTGAATTTCCTGAAGTTACCAAGAGAGGCTTTAAAAGAGCCATCATCCATGAGCATTTATGGTGTGCCTGGGTCTTCTCCTCTTGGTTTGTATCAATTCCATACAGTCATTGTCACAGCCCAATGTATGACGCACTGTAGGTCTGGCGTGAAGAATCCAGGTACAGAGGAACAAAGAGGTCAGGGTATTAGAGAAGTGAAGCCAAGATTTGAACCCAACCCACAAGAGGTCAACCAAAGTCCCTGGAAGTTCTGTAGGTTTGAGCCATGACAGTGCTCGCCAGCCCTTGGTGGAGAGGCCAGTGGGGCCATTTGTTTGCCAAGCTTTTCTACCAAGGACACAGGCCTACTGCTAAGCAGGTCGGGAGTGCTCTTGGTTCAGACTTAATCCCAGGGCTGCATGGGGCCTTTGGGGATTAAATACTTAAGCGCTGCCCTCTGTCCAGGCTGAACAAGTAGGGCCCAGGGGGATTCACTTTTTGAATACTGATGTGTGAGATGTGGCTTGGCTGGACAGTCCACTGACCATGCCGGGACCACAGGAAAAATCCATGTCACAGTGCAGGAAAGTGATTTCATTGACAGACATTATGCCAAAGCTACTCAAATGATACATGTGTTGATTAAAACTTTTGATTCCCAGGGTAACTACTGAACTGACAGAGGCCAACCATTTTTAGTGTACAGACTTACCCTACGGTAAAACACACAGATGTTTACTTTAGTAATACCAAGACAACCTTTACTTATGCTCTTTTTGACCACATGAAATTTCTATTTATGTAGGTTAAAATGGTCAAATATTGGCAGTTTTACGTGACTCAACCCAATGGGGACTATATCTCCAATAAATGCTTCTTGTTGAGTCATGGAAAAGGGTAAATCGTAGAGATTATTGAGGCAGACTTACTCTTTGGTAACTATAGCCCAGAGCACTTAAATCACTCATCCCAAATCACAGGGCTCTCACATTGGCCACAGTGCCCAGATCTGCACCCAAATAACTTGAGCCAGGGCTCAGCACTCATGTCCTGGGGGAGGCCACTTTATTCCAATAACTCCTTGTTTCCATTGCTCAACCGGGTAAAAGATAAAAGACCAGGACCATGGTTTTAGCTTGCAAACATCAGTTAGTTGTGCCCGGTCTCCAGGCTACAGAATGATCTCCTCATTCCAGCTCTCCCTGTCACAGATGTGTGACTCCAGACAAGGGCAATCTGGACACTACAAGGAAAGTAACGCTCATTGGACCCCTAAGTCCACAGTACTCTTTTCTTGAAAGAAGATGGTTTACAGGCATCAACAGCCTTCAAATGGCAGCAGTCTTTTATTTTTCTATCAAGGATAGAAAAATATTTGACTACCTACATTTACCATGAGTCTCCCATTTGAAATGGGATTTAGCTCAGTGGCGCTGCGCCTACCTGGCAAGCGCAAGGTCCTAAATTTGATCCCTGGTACCATAAATAAATAAATAAATAAATAAATAAATAAATAAATAAATAAATAAAATAGAAAATTTTTTAAAACTTTCAAAATTTTCACCCAAAGGCAATTACTGATGAAAAAAGTGAAACACAATGAAGGAAGGATGGGAGGGAGGGAGGGAGGGAGGGAGGAAGAAGGAAAAAAAG